AAAAACACTCCTACCACACATGTGGAAACGTACAGAAGTAAGAAGAAGCAAGAAAGAGAAGCCTGACCTGTGAAAATCTCGGAGTCAAAATGGCAGCCTCTGTTGTTTCTATTTGGGGTTTTATAAAAAAAGCACAAAGAAGAAACGCATTGGTGATCTGATGGCTCGCCACAATGACGTTACATTTATACAATCTCACTCGCTCTCCCGTCATTTCTGTCTGTAATAGTTGTGGTGAGCCACTTCACACTGGTGCTGTCAGCAGCAATGTAGTGAGTTGCTAAATAATTTTTGCTTAGACCCATGCTAAAATTAGCCCATCATTCTATGCAAAGTGCAAATAGGTGCTTTAAAAGTAATGAAGGGCTCCTTTGATACTCGCGTAACAAGCTCCAGAGAAATATTAAAATGTGCTTGGAAAATACAGTGTTGTGGCTGTACTAGTCGACAACAAGGAGTGCTGCCACCAGTTATTGCATGCCTGCCAGCACAAAAGGCACCTGCAGCTGAAGGTGTGGCCACAAAATATTGCCACGTTCCATTTCCCAAGTTTTTGTTATCGTCCCAAAACGCCACACGATTCTCAGCGCAAACCGCGCCTGCAGTTTTCGAGAAGGTTCCGGACTGTAGTAGATCATTTCGATAAGATCACGCCCACTGTGCGAACGGTACAGATTGTTCTGGAACCTACGCCACCGCCAGCGATAACGCTAGAACATTCAACGGCAAGAGTATAAATGCCGACGCGCTTCGCCACTTGTTAGTTGTTGATCGAAGGCCGACGCTCCGTTCGCCGCTATCAGTCCGAGACTGCTATCTGTGCAAGACTGCTGCTGTAATTGGACTTTCTGTTTACCGGGTACAGGTTCGCCCAAGTAAACAGTTAAATCCCAACACGAAGTCTCCTGTCTTCAGCCACGTCACGACCTCGTGACATCTGGTGGAGGTGCTGTTTCTTCCATGTACCGGACGCCTCCGTCAAGCCGTGAACCCAGCCCACGCCGTGAAGACACCGACGCCAGCAACGAGCAGCGAGTTAGCCGCAGGCAACAAGGTCTGCCACCGGAGTATGGGCTTTTACTGGACAAGGCTCGGAAAACCAAGACGTTGACGTCGACCACGGCGACCATGTCAACGCCGGTTCTACCTGCATCACTCCTGCTCCGGCAACCTAAAGAGCCGCCAACTTTCCGCGGTTCGCCACTGGAAGACGCGAAAGCTGAATCGAAAGGTTCGACCGCGTCGCCGCCTTCAATGACTGGACAGACGAAGACAAGCTACGGCATGTGTATTTCGCCTTGGAAGATGCTGCTCGGACCTGGTTCGAAAATCAAGAGCGAAGCCTCACAACGTGGGACGCCTGTCGCACCAGGTTCCTCACCACTTTCGCAAGTGTGGTGCACAAGAAGAAGGCCGCAGCTCTCCTCGAAACCCGCATGCAGATGCCAAATGAAAACGTGGCGATATTCACAGAAGATATGATTAAACTCTTTCGCCACGCTGACTCCGACATGTCCGAGGAGAAGAAAGTGCGTCTACTTATGCGAGGAGTAAAGCAGGAACTCTTCGCCAGGCTGATCAGAAACCCGCCTAAGACGGTGGCTGAATTCATTTCAGAAGCATCTACGATAGGGAAGACGCTCGAGATGCGCACGCGGCAATATAACCGTAGCTTCTCGTCTACAAGTTACGCCGACATTCAAGCGCTCGGAACCACTGACTTGCGTGAGAGGATCCGAGCGATCGTGCAAGAGGAGCTGCAAAAATTACTTCCTTCAGCGCAGCCTCACGTGGAATCCATCGCGGACGTCGTACGCCAGGAGATCCAGCAGTCGCTGGGCGTTCCTCAGCCTCAAGAGCTGCAGCTGCAAGTCATGAGCTATGCTGCTGCAGCACGCCGCCACGCCCCTCTTCCACGCGCACGCCAAAACGCCGCCGCCCCATCGCACTTCTGTCGCTAGACACGTTCCACGTTCCATTTCCCAAGTTTTTGTTATCGTCCCAAAACACCACACGATTCTCAGTGCAAACCACCAGATGTCACGGGCTCGTGACGTGGCCGAAGACAGGAGACTTCGTGTTGGGATTTAACTGTTTATTTGGGCGAACCTGTGCCCGGTAAACGGAAAGTTCAATTACAGCAGCAGTCTTGCACAGATAGCAGTCTCGGACTGATAGCGGTGAACGGAGCGTCGGCCTTCGATCAACAACTGACAAGCAGCGAAGCGCGTCGGCATATATACTCTTGCCGTCGAATGTTCTAGCGTTATCGCTGGCGATGGCGTAGGTTCCAGAACAATTGTACCGTTCGCACAGTGGGCGTGATCTTATCGAAATGATCTACTACAGTCCGGAACCTTCTCGAAAACTGCAGGCGCGGTTTGCGCTGAGAATCTTGTGGTGTTTTGGGACGATAACAAAAACTTGGGAAATGGAACGTAACAATATTTTCAAAGGTCTAGATGGCACTGACCAGTGATTGCAACTTCATCACGAGTGTGGCTGAAAAGCTGATAGAAACCACCGCAAAACATGCAAGTGTAACTTATCACCAAAAATCACTGAACATCTTCAACTACTTGAAATGTGTGGCATAGTGAGATTGTAACTTCTACTGCAGGCTTCCAACAACTAAAATGTGACGTGCTGCCATTTGTTTCTGACTTGGGCAGAACTCCTATAGTGCATAGGAAAACCTAGCCATCACCACACCCAAACAGTGTCATAAATGAGCAACTCACACAAGAAAGATTCACTTCACCGACACTTGGGGAGTGAACATGCAAGTGTCCCGGTGAAATTAGGCAACACAAATGCTTCCAATGAACTTGGCCATGCAGAAACAGGTGCCTTGTTTCAGAGAAGTAGAGATCACATAACAGGGGAAAGCTGGATGAGTTTGGCACTCTGGTGTCTGCACAGTTTATGTTGGTGGCAACTTTTTTTTGTCTGCCTTTAGACTTCACAGAACCAGCTCAGAAGTAAGGTAGCTGCGATAGGTTGTGGGAGCACTACTAACACCCCTTGTAAAGTTTTTTGCGCCTCATGGCGCAGATGTTTGGCACATAGGCCGCATTCAGGGGTCACAACTATTGAGTAGTAGGTGGCATTGTGCGCTCAAGCATTTTATTGCCACCATCGTCATCATGGTTAGTGGGTAGCGCCAGCAGTGACGCCTGGCGGCAGGCCTGGGTGGCGGCGCCCGAGATATGGGCGGTCCTCTTTTGTGGGTGGTGGTTGCCGCGAATGGTTGTCTCCAGCGGTGGGCCTGCGGTGCATGAAACCGCGGGCTGTCTGCAATGGGCCCTCGTGGTAAGACAGGCGGTAACGAAACCGCCTCGTGTGTGTTATTGTGTTATGTTGTGTAATATTGTGTTAGGCTGTTTAGCGTGTTGATCACGATTGGTGTATAATTATTCAACTGGCAATATTGTCATTCTAAAAGCAGTTAAATAAATGCGTGTTGTTTTAGTCCGTTCCGACTGTGTCTGCTGTGTTCGTTCACTCCAAGAGCGTGGAGCTCTCCACAACGAGAACCCACATGATAAAGAAATTAGCCTAGGAATCAGTTGTTAGTTTAAATTAATATAGGAGTCCAAGTTACTGGATTTGTGACTTAGTTTTTCTAGATTTGAGCTGTTGGATGTTCTTAATTTTGATTAGCTTGATGGGGAATTGGATACTAAAAATTTATTAAATATAAATTGGATTGCTTTTTGTCAAATTTTTTCAAGTATGCTGGCATTAGTTTTTGCGCAAGTATCCAAAACTCTGCATGTGTATTCCAGCTCAAGCCTTATTAGGGAATTGTAGCCTAGTAACGTTACATTGGAAAAAAAATTTTTCAGTGCCTCAAAAGGCTGAAGGGCGAAATTTTATTTTTAGGATCGTTTTTTGGTATCGTGTTGTAAAAGGTGACACCTAGGCATTCATAGCTCCATAAAGGGCCACTTACCATCCCCATACCAAATTTTATTTAGACAGTGGAAGTTGTTAGGTGTCCGATGAGGAATATTTTGCCATAAAATTTTTTTGAATCGGCTCATCATGAGCGGAGAAAACGGGTTTTTCGAAGCGGCGCGAAACGAGGATGGGAGGAGGGGAGCTCGACATCCTTGCCGCTCCTCCGTGTAACCTTCGCAAGCCAAATATCTTCCCCATCCTCTCCGGCCTCCGACCAAGAGGTCACGTGCGCCTGACATGCCCAAACAAGTCCAACTCCCGAGCACGCGAATGGCGTTGGTTTGTTGACCAGCATTCTTTTGTGGCCTTCTGCCTGTTTCTGCGGAATGCTTTGGAAACGCTGGCTTAGACGCGCTAGAATAGATGAGCACAATGAGTGTGCGAACGTGTAGGAGCATTCCACGGTGGTCGTCTGCTCGATGAGCTGACCACGAGGACATGAACGCATGCGAAACGCCGACACAATAGCTCTGCATCTCGTTGCAATTCATGGGAGAAAAATGAAAAAAAGGCGCTCACATTCCCTTATTGCGTCTCATTATTTATCTAGACCTTTATTAATCTCTTCAAGCAACAAATCACATGAACTACACATGCTGTGTTAAATAATTTTCACCATGTCACGTGCCACTGTTTGCAATGTCAGAGAAGAGCCGTCTACGTAGAGGACCAACATCACTGCATTGCCGTGTACGTAGGGCCATTCATGCGTGCACGTCATGGCCTCATTCTCTGGGCGCGCACTCGCAGAAGGCAGCGTTCATCTTGCAATTTGACCCATTTTTACGGCGCGTAGCCTTGCAAATTTTGGCAGACGTGATCATGAAGGCCTCGTGTACGCATTGCGCTTGTCATCTCAAAATTGTCAAACCTGGTGAGTGGTCCTTTAAAACCCAAGTAGATGAGTCAGTCAGCATTAAGCCATGTTAAGGAGTCTGTGCTGGTACATAGTGAAAACAGCAAAAAACAAAGACCACACAAAGGAAGTGCTGTAGCCCTCCTGCTTTGTCATTGCTGATGTCATCTTTTTCTTTCAGCTGACATATGCTAAGGCACGATGTGAAAAACAGCTCAAGCTAGTAGGTGGCTTAGACTCGCCTTCGGAAGAGCAAGAAAGTCTTCCAGGACGCAAGGTCCGCTTCTCTTTCTTTCCTGTATTTTTTCGTATGGCTCACCATTTTCTGTTTTCTTGATCGTCTCCCTCCAGGTGTTTGCATTTTCGGTTCTCATGGAGTCGCCTGTATGTCGAGAATACCTGGCACGATTCTTGCAGGGGGAAGAGTTGGGGAAGTCACTGCTCTTGTAAGTGCCTCATGTTCTTTTTCCTTTGGCAGTGCTGATTTGCATGACACGAGATGAAAATTAATCTTGCCCATGCCAGGTTTTGGCAAGACATAGAGAACATGAAACTCTCCAGCAAAGTGAGTTGTGGTCTCCACCCATGCCTCCGGCTGTTGTCTTATTTGTTGGGATCATTTTATGATGCAGGATGAATGGCATCAGCTGGGCAACGAGATTTACCAGACGTACATCAAGCGACCGCGTCCTGGGATTCGACTCTCAAAAGGCGTCCTCAAGGGCATAGAGGCCTTCATTATGGCCAACAAGGCAAGAACTTTTCCTTCATCACTGACTGATGTGATGCGTTCATTTCAAAATCAAAAGACCAAGTTTGGGAAGGCTTCTTAGCCAAAGGTCATGGTCACAGCATGAGATTCTGATGGTCACAGCATGTGGCTCAATTACAGCTTCCATCTTTAGAGTTTCTTTTTGTCAGAGCATGTTGTACAGTTAAACATGCCTACAAAGAGCCCTGTGTAGCAAATTCCTCGATACTATGAGGTTTTGCATTCCCAGCTGTCACTACATAGAAGCACTTGTATTTGTGACCCCTATGTAACAAAATAACACCGTAATGTAACGAATTTTCAACACCAACAACCAAAGGATGTTGCACTGAATTTCGTCATTTTGGCACATGCATCTTCTGTAGATTTATTGTTGTGTTCTGGCATGCATCGAATTAAAGTATATACGCAAAGGGGTCAGTGAAGTATCGGTATCAAGAATGCATACCAGCGAAGAAATAGAATACGTTCTCTGTTTGCCAGGTTCTTTTTTCACTATACGCAAAGGGGTCAGTGAAGTATCGGTATCAAGAATGCATACCAGCGAAGAAATAGAATACGTTCTCTGTTTGCCAGGTTCTTTTTTGCACCTCCAGATGGCCCCACCTATTCTGCCTCTCGCGGTTGTGGCGGTGGTAACACAGTAATACGTGGACTCAAAGAAGTCTATGGACAAACTAAAATTCACTATTAATGGTACCTGTGTGTTACCTGTTAGCGATGATATCTGTCTATATGCTACTCCACTTTGATAGCTTGTGGTCGTGCTGGCGTGTAACATATGTGCACATAGTGCATGCGTGTAATCGAAAGACCCTTATTGTGTTTTTTTCCGGGCTTCTAACCAGACAAACTCACAACCGTTCCCTGACACGCTGACTGACAAGCACATGCTGAAACATCCTCTTTTCTTTCACCGTTGTTTTTAGGTGGTTTGCATCTTGGTAATTTCACGAAATCATTCAAAGCAGTACGACGAAGATCAGACATGACGAGTGAGTGTGTTTACACGATTCGGCGCCCAGTGGGCGCCAAGATAAAGACACTCAGATTGTAGACGTCATTGCTACTAGCGCATTGTCACTCAGTATGGTATGTGTGGAATGTATCACATCGAACGCATAGCACTAGTGTTGATGTTGCAGGGCACTCGATTTTCCATTAAACTCTCAGATGCTGTTTGCCGTCAAAATACATTAACATCCACGCGACGGAGGTGATTAAAGTTTGGCCAAGACGGCCACACACACCGAGCATCTCAATTTTGAAATTTGATGTCAGTGCTTCTTTGAAAAAGCAATGTTTTTGTGTTGTAAGCACCTCTTTCATTGTTGCAGAAGTCTCTGAACTGCATTTCATTAACTTGGCACCAGGTGACAGCCCTAAAAAATAATCTTGCTCCGAGTCGATACATTTCGAGTTTTCTGGAGCCCTTCACTAGGGTGTCTCTCATAATCATACGGTGGTTTTGGGATGCTAAACCCCACATTTCGAGTTAGCGCCACACTCTGTGGTGCCGCATATGAAGAGCACCTTTTCTAATTTTCTGTAATATCCGTGTCTTTTGCTTTTTGTTTTCGATGCCTTGCACCCACACATAGTTTCACTGCACGCACATTGAGCAGCTCCCCAGGATGTGCAGCTTCGTGTTTTTTTTTATTGTGGAAAATCGTGTTGTCACTCACTACCAAGTGCATGTCAGATTAGGCGCTGATGGAAACTGTCTGAGACCACAGTCTTAACGACAGATCTTCGGACGTCAACTCCTCACGTGCTTTGCCGTTTATAAACAGTGGCCTCTGAGATTGGCGCCGCCAACACATTGTCGGCGCCCAGTTTGGAAGCCACAACTAGTCGATGACAAAGTTCTGTTTTGTTTATGTGCCCTATGAACGTTCGATATTACCATTCCTCGGGAGCAAGCCCTAGAGCAAAATACGTAATGCAGTTTTTTGCTTCTAAAAAATGCTTTGGGTAAGCTATGCTTCCAGTTGTTCTTTTGTTTAATTTGTGACTTTCTTTCATGAACTTTCATGCTGAAAACCTGTTTGTAACGAATATTTTTTGCACTTTGTCAGTTTCATTATATCCAGGTTTAACTGTAGCTTTGCAGCGACTCTTAAGGGCTGCCTTAATGTACTTAGCATTCCCATATATAAGGGCATGTCCAGTTATAAATTAAAGGGGTTTTGCCCTATGCACGGCTGGCGCAGAAGCATAGCTAATGTTCTAGCCCCACACATTCGTATCGTGCACGATTAACGTCCCCTTCCCGTAGCTCCAGTCATAGCTACGATGGGTTCGGGCAAATAAGGCAACAGGCTAGGTCAACAAAAGATCACTTTATTGCTACGTTAGCAAAACGCGTGAACGTCGCATAGAGGGACTGTTCCCTCTAGGAAGATGACAAATGGGTATACGTTTTCGCCTTTCGATGTCAATTGCGTTGTCTCGAAGGGAAATATGGGGTTTGCCCTCCCTTTGTGGTGGCCGGTGCAAGAAAGTGTATCCCTATTGGCACGCTCGTTTTCTCCAACCTCTCCCCAACGAGGGCTGCTCCTTCGCCGAGGGAAAGTAACCCATTTCGCGAGCTAAGAAAGGGGATAGCGCGTTCCGGCTGCGGGGTGATCAGCCCTTTGAAAGAGGCTTCATTGTCTCTATCACACAGGAACCGACGTGTCCCACAGCTAGGATGTGGAGCTGCTGTAATGGGAAAGGAAGCCCACAAAATGCAATGATCACTTCAGTGATCGCTGTTGAAGTGTAACATGTTGGCTCCCTTGTTGGCCATTTGGTTGAGGCATGTAGGTGGCTCCTCGTTCTTGCCTAAACCTTGGTCACGATATAACACAAATTTCATGTCAACAAGCTTGTGCCAATGTTTCTGTATTGTCTGAGCATGCTGATTCCATACCAGAGCCAGGCATGGGAGAAGAATTAGAAGGAGCAGGGATGTTAGTGTTCACAAGCTGTCACTAGACAGAGTTAATTTAACAGTGTTCAACTACGGCAGTTTCTGTTGACAATGACTTTCGACATGTATCTGTAGTCTCTCATTGCAGTACATAAATCGGTAACATCTCTCCATATTGGCACACAAAACTTGAGAATATTTGGTTTTAGTTAGGTTGGGCGAGTGCAAACTGACAGTTTAGGAGACAGAATTGAGATGTAGTCATCCAATAATAGAATCTGTCGGGATGGTGTCTGTGCAGTGTGATGAACCCTTACATTGAGAGAAAACTAAAAAGATTTTTATTTTCCTAGCTTCGGTCACTGATGAGATATAAGAGACAATCATGCCAAGATAAGTATAGGGGATTTTATTAGAAATAACGGTATTGTAAATGTCAAGAAAGAAAAGTGGACGAAAAGACAACTTGCCATGGGCAGGCACGGCACCTGCGACCTTGGAATAATGCATGCCCCCCCTCCACATGTTCACATTATATGTGCATTAAACGTGAAAGCGTCAGTCAGCGCCACCAGTAGCCATGATGGCAAATGTGGAACACTCTTCTTCTGTCTGTTCGGCATCATGTAGCGCGTGATCATAGTATGAGCTGGCAGCTGACCAATGATCCCTCGCTTACTACCTCAAGGCACCAAGTCTGCCAGATCGAGACCCTCGCTATGAATGAAGGAAAGTGTTCGGGCCTACTTGGTGCCTTGAGGTAGTGTGCAAGAGATTATTCGTCAGCTGCCAGCCCGTATGATCACGTGCTACGTGACGTTAAACAGTCCAAAAAAGAGTGTTATACGCTCGTCGTGGAACACTCTTTCACAATAAATTATCGAAGTCTGCTAAAAATCACTTTCTCTTCTCTCAACAAATGACGGTAGGTGCTCAAAAATCACTCGTAGAAAGCCCATCTATCAGCCATTGGCTGATTTGAACATGGCACGCTCGGTCGTTACAGAGACCGCCGCGGGAGGCCGCGACTTGTCCACGCTTGCTATCACATTGAAAAATCCGCACATTCAAAAAAAAAAAAAAAAAGAGAAAAAGTGCTCAAAGTCACAAAGCACTGGTGATGTATTTTCTTTGCCCCTTCCATCCTTCCCTGCTTAGATTCCAGTGCTTTCATTGGGATGAGAGAAGAGAGAATGCAATTGCAGCATGCAACAGTATTGCAGTATTAGTAATAATTACAGTATTAGCAATTATTACAGTATTAGCAATAATTGCAGTATTAGTAACTCCATTCGCAGTGGACGGATTCTTAAAATTTTTTGGGGTTCAATTCGTGAGGCAGTAAGCTCTTTCAGTGAATACATTCCATGGTTACTTGAAAAAGTGCTTCAGGGCCCCTTTAAGGTAGTATGCGAGGGTTCATTGGTCAGCTGCCAGTTCATAATGTGATTACGTGCTACGCGATGCCAAACAGGCCGAAAAAGAGTGTATTAAATTCATCGTCATGGCTACTGGTGGCACTCACTGACGCTTCTACATTTAAATGCACATGCATACCCTATAAAAGTGGACTGGGTTATCACCACCGTGGTAGCTCAGTCGGTTGTTGCGAAGGGCACCTCTGACGACGTTACGAAGGGCGCCTCGAAATCTCACTACTGCGGCCACTGTTTCGAAAGACGGCGACACCACAACACGGTCCCGAAGGCGCCACTGCTTCAAATTCCGCAAGGAAGGTCACCATCCGTTTGCTAGCGTAGGTTTCTCAGCTCGCGAATGCTTCTGCGCAGAGCTGATAGACGAGCGGACGAGACGACGGTGAGTTAAACAAGGTTTATGTACAGCATATATACAGAGGCGTTACAAATTCGGCACTGGGGCCGACAGCTTAGAGACCCGAAGAGCCGAGCTCTCCTTTCTAACACATAGGTCTGCTCTCAAATGGGTACTGCTAACACATAGCTCAACTCTCTATCACATAGCTCTCTTCTCTGACAAACATGTCTGCTCTCACATAGGACTGCTGCGACACACGTCAGCTCTCCAGCAGGTCTGCTAACACATAG